TAAGTGTTCAAGCTAAAGGAAGAGTTGTACATCTCCCACTTTAAATTCAAAGCTAGAAATGATTAAGCTTAGTGAGGAAGGCATGTCAAAAGCCAAGACAGGTGAAAAGCTAGGCCTCTAGTACTCAACAGTTAGCCAAGTTGTGAATACAAAGGAAAAAATTGAAGGAAATTAAAAGTGCTACTTCAGTGAACAGAGCAGTCTTAAGAAGCTGAAACAGCCTTACTGCTGACGTGGTGAAAGTTTGAGCAGTCTGGGTAGAAGATCAAACCAGTCACAACATTCCTTTCAGCCAAAGTCTAATCCAGAGCAAGGCTGTAACTCTTTTTAATTCTGTGGAAGCTGAGACATGAGAAAGCTGTAGAAGAAAAGTTTGAAGCTAGCAGAAGTTGGTTCATGAGGTTTAAGGAAAGAACAATATAACATAAAATACAAGGTGAAGCAGCACGTGCTGACATAGAAGCTGGAGCAAGCTAGCCAGAAGATATGAGATAATTAAGGAAGGTGGCTACACTAAACAACAGATTTTCAGTGTAGATGAAACAACTTATATTGGCAGAAGATGCCATCTAGGACTTTCATTACTTTCTTTAGGACTTTCTCCAGGAGGCGCCACAGCCTGGCTTCAAAGCTTCAAAGGACAGGCTGACTCTCTTCTTAGGGGCTAATGCGGCTACTGGCTTTAAGTTGAAGCCAATGATCATTCACTATTCTGAAAATCCTAAGGTCCTTGAGAATATGCTAAGGCTACTCAGTCTATGCTCTATAAATGGGACAAGAAAGCCTGGGTGACAGCACATCTCTTTACAATATGGTTTACTGAATATTGGAAGCCCACTGATGAGACCTACTGCTCAGAAAAAGAAGATTCCTTTCAAAATATCACTGCTCATTGATAATGCACCTAAGAGCTCTTATGCAGATGTGCAACAAGATTAATGTTGCTTTCATGCCTGCTGACACAGCATCCTTTCTGTGGCCCACAGATCAAGGAGGAATTTCTACTTTTGGGTATTAACATTGAAGAAATAACATTTTGTAAGGCTGCCACAGATGGTGATTCCTCTAGTGGATCTGAGCAAAGTCAATTAAAAATCTCTGGAAAGAATTCACCATTCTAGACACCATTCATAACATTTGTGGTTCATGGTGAGAGGTCAAAATATCAACATTAACAGGAGTTTGGAAGAAGTTGATTCCAACCCTCATGGATGACTTGGAGGGACACAAGACTTCAGAAGAGGCAGTGACTGTAGATGTTGTGGAAATAGCACTAGAATTAGAAGTGGCCCTGAAGGTGTGGCTGAATTATTGCAATCTCAGGATAAAATTTTCATGGATGAGGAGTTGCTTCATATGGATAAGCAAAGAAAATGGAGTCTTGAAATGGAATCTACTGCAGGCAAAGATGCTGTGAAGATTGTTGAAATGACAAGAAAGGATTTAGAATATTATATACACTTAGTTCATCAAGCAGTAACAGGGTTTGAGAGGACGGACCCCAATTGTGAAAGAAGTTCTAAGTGGGGGTAAAATGCTATCAAATAGCATTGTTTGCTACAGAGAAATCATTAATAAAAGCAAGAATCAATCATGTAACAACTTCATTGTTGTCTTATTTTAAGAAATTCTACAACCACTCTAGCTTATCAACCACCACCCTGATCAGTCAGCAGCCACCAGCATCGAGGCAAGACCCTCCACCAGCAAAAAGATGAGGACTTGCTGAAAGCTTAGATGATAGTATTTTTTAGCAATAAAATATTATTAAATTATGTACATTGTTTTCTTAGACATAGTGCTGTTGCATACTTAAAAGACTACAGCATAGCATAAATGTAACTTTTATATGCACTGAGAAACCAAAAAGTCATTTGACTTGCTTTATTGTGATGTTTGCTTTATTGCAGTGGTCTAGAACTGACCCCCTGTATCTCCAAGGTATGCCTGTATCAGTCAAAATGCAGGAGCCCTGCACCAGTTTTGTTCTGAGGAAATAAGTGCTGTTACATTGGCTAACATGCACTGTTAAAAAAATTTCAGCTGCTTCTCTTAAACTTTGCATTCCACTGATTAAGACCTTTTGTTATTTTTCTGATGAAGAATAGGAATTGACAGTTACCCATTCTTAAATGAGCCATAATTTTCCAATTTGTTGGTCTTTCTTCATATATGATTTTGAAAGACCATTATAAAGATACCTCTGAGGCTTTTCCCCTGAAAAATAGACTAATTTCCTTTATCGAACTCTTTGAGGTCTTATTTTACTTTTTTAAAACAATCACCCTTTTCCTTTCCTCTTTTGAACCTATGTCAATATGTGGCTCCCACCCTCACACCCTTATATTTTATACTCAAATAGTATTGCAGTATGTTTATAAATAAAGGTCTGGCTAGTCATACAGTCCCCAAATATCATGCTTATTTACTTGTATCTCAGTGTCACCATAAATCACCCAGTAAATGTAGAAGAATGAAAGAAACACTTTATTTCGACCTTCTAGTTACTGTGTTGTCATTACTCTCTAGTCTCTGATGCTCCTGCTTTCCAGTGCTGCTTTTCTGCTTTCTGTAAAGCTCTCTTTCATCTTCTCTCTACAGTTTCATCCATGACAGTCTTGCTCCTATGACTCCACATTACCCCTCTATGTAATTGCTGTCTATATCTGTGTTATATGTTTGGCTAGATTATGTAATCATCGCCATCCTGGACTTTTCCCCCATCTATAACTCTCATAGTCTTCTCTTCCCATACCTAATCTATAGGCAAGCCCATAGATATTAGTTAAATCATGGCTCTAGCGCCTGATTCCCCTCCCTCTTCCCTTACCACAGCGCAGTTCTATAAGGGTATTCTCACCTATAATCTTCTGCCCATTGATAAATCAGCTTCCACTTCTGAGTCCAGCTTAATTCTTCTAAAATCCATGCCCTATTACTGAAACCTCATCACCAGTGATAAATTCATACATCCTAGTTGCTGGTTTCTAGATTTATCTCCACTGTCTTCCTTCATGAGTCCTGCTTGTATAGAGAGGCAGTAAAGAGTTCTGAAGTAGAATATTCAAATATTACGAATATACGAATATTCGAATTGGAATTCTGTTTCTGTCGCTTGGCTAGCTAGCTCTGTGCTCATGAGCAAATCACTTAATATCTCTGGGTCTCATTTGCCTCACCTATAAAATGTGGATGGTAATCGGACCTACCACAGACGATTATGGTAAGGACGAAATGAAATGCTCAGTGGTGTCCAGCATACAGTAAGAGTTCAATAATTATTAGCCATTATTACATTCCGTTTAAAGAGAACCCTTTGCATTTCCTATGCACATCTGTATTTTCCTATCCGTGTGCCTTCCTCAGGCTATATTTGGTTTTTAGAATATTCTCCATTTCCATGTTTGTTTAAACTATGCACAGATTACATTCCTCTAACATGTAGCTTTCAGACAAACCCTCAATATTAAATCTATCCTTTTAATTTGCAAAGCCTCTCCTCTGTACCTCCCTGTTTAGCCATTCTACTTGTATGCTTATGTGTATTCTAATCCTTGTATTCTACATTACTCTAGAATCCTTGTATTCTAATTATGTGTATATGTATTTTTGCTCTTAAGAACTACCTTATCAACATTTGTATTTCCTCCAAATTGTTAGATACTGTTTGTTTAATAAATGAATGAATGTTACACTTGTTCACTTGCTTGCTCCTGCTATGTAAATGCACTGCCACTTTAGAACCTTACCAAAATTAGCTTCTTTGTGGTTATGTGACTGATCTCCATCTCTGTCCTAAGCCCACCCTTTTTGTCTCCCTTTTTTTTTTTTTGCTACCTCTGACCCTTGCCCAGTTTTGACTGCGCTTCCTTCCCCTCTTTCTTTTCCACTCCCCATTCCCTTTTCCCTTTTCTCTCTCTTCTTCCTCTTCATGCTTTTCTTTAATTCTGGATTCCCACTTTTAAACATTTTCTCTATAAACTTACATCTAAGGTACATGAGCACAAAAGGATACTGCTTCAAGATGGAGATGTTTTCTGATCATTTTCTGTTACTTTTCTTTGTCAAAAATAATAAGAGCATGTAACATCCAATCATAATGTTGTTTACTCACCTGAAGTATTGAGAAGCAAGCAGTTGTTCAATAGCAAATAAAACTAAGCCCAAATTCTACATAAGGAGAAGTATTTTCACAAGAAATTTTAATTGCATATTCTGACTGTTACAGTATGGTTTGAGTAGAGTTTGTCTTTCTGGAAAAGGGAAACAATTGTAGGATTAGTGTCCTGAGATTTTTTTTGAAAAATGAATTTGACCAAGAGTCTGCAAAAACAAGTTCTTAGGTAATTTTTTGTCCATTTTGTGCCCAGATTTTCCTTATTTCTTCCTTCCCTTCTCATTTACAATGGCATTTTGAGTTATAATCTCTTTCTCCCACCCCTTAACTGTCCTCTTCCTTAATCAGTACCCCGATTCTTCCTCCTAATTCTGAAAATCATCGAAAACATCATATCATGCTGTGTTTTCCATTTCTACATGTCTTGAAATGTCTCTTGTCTTGCTGGAGGAATGTTCTCAAGAGTTCTGTCAGAGGTAGAAGTAATAACCATTTTAATCATATTCTTAATTAATTACAAACTTGTACAACACCGGTGTGATCCACTTGGGTTAATGACTATGAAAAAGAGATAGAGTATGCTGTTACGTCTACATAGGATCGAGGGATGTCAAGTTAGCAAAATTGAATGGTAGATTAGAAAGTCAAACTTGAATTCTTATTTTACAATCATGATCTATAACCACATGTAAATTCACCACTTTAAAAACCTCTCTGCTTATACTCTCCTTCCTGAGCCATAGGAAGTTAATGCTTAGAACTGGATATAACGTGAGCAATTCTAAGCATCCTGAGTAATAGCACTATGTACACAACATTATGGGATTATCACTTGTGGTGCATTTGTTCTCAACACTGGCTTTTTTTCCCCCCCCTAACATAGGGTAGAAATTTAGCATCTGGAGAGGTTGGATTTTTTCCAAGTGATGCTGTCAAACCATGCCCATGTGTAAGTATGAGTATTTTATTTCTTTCTATTTTTTTTTTTGATGCTGTAATTATTTAAGAATGGACAAAGGATACTGGTCTGGTTGCTTATCCATTTTATTGATATTTTCTGGAGGAATCATTATTTCACATTTGAATGTTATGGCCAATGTTATTAAAGTTCTAAAATGATTATGATCCTATTATTGTCAGAAAGTATTTTAAATGTTAAGGGAATATATGCAAGAGGAAAATTTAACTTGGTAGAATTTATAAAATTAAGTTGTCTACAAGGTTTTAGGAGAAAAACAAAGCTACAGCTTAGATGCATTGTGCAAATTTCTCTTTTCTCACTGAGGTAAGAATGATAGGGTCTAACCTATTCACAGTCACTTTTGGTTACAGAGAGATATTACGCTTGAACTAGTATACTTGAAAACATGCTAGAAAGCATGAAAGTCCACACATTTTTCAATCAAATCTCTAGATGCATTTTCTGTGCTTTAGTTTGTCACTACTGCTTATTTAATGTCATAATGATATTTTCTATAAACATCAAATGCCTTAAGTAGATACAAGGAGAATGAGTATTTACTTAAATATTATTATGGATGAATACAACATAAAATGAACTCACTTGCGCTTTATAAGATTTATAAATTTCTGTCTTATCAACATAATCTGCTGTTTAGGGTGGATTTTTCCATGAAACTTTTTAAGTTCTTAACTCTAAGTAAATGGAATTCCTTTACTAAAATAATGGAGTTGATGGTTTTGGGGGGAAAAACACACTCCTAAAACTATACCACATATTGTTTTCTTTTTATAGCCTCTTGAGTAATGTATAAAATGACCATTTGAAGTTTTAGAAATAGTTCAGCGAATAGTAGGTGTTTAGTAAATTTTTGTTGTATAAATGAACAAAGGGATGGAAAAATAAATGAAAGTCCCTAACTGAATATAGGTAATTAACAATGGTAGATGCTAATTAAATCAGCTTATAGGATCTTATTGAATGGTATTTGGTGACCCAGGTAGTTACCAGGAAAAATATGTGCAGATTTTTAAGCTGCTAAAGGGTTGTAAAGGAATACATAGTTGTGAGTAGGACTACCAACTAAATATGATTGTTTTATAACTCAAAGTTAATAAATAGCTGTTAAATTTTATTGCTTACTTAATGAAATTGTAGGTACATTTGTTTGTTGTAGAACAAGGTAGGCAAAGTGAAGTAGAAGGAGGGGAAATTGGCAAGGAGGATACTTGGAGGGGGTTTGGAAGGTTCTCTTCTGCCCCTGGACACACTGTTTATCAGGAGTCTGCGAATAGTGCTGAGGGTTCCACTCCAGGTTCAGAAATTATTCTCCTGCATATGCTGTGCACGTCTACTCAAAGGTCCTGAGTTATACAGATAGGAACCCAGGGCTGAGGAAAAACACAGGAAGAACATAAATGAGACAATTTCATTTCTGGCAATATGGTACCTGGAGACAAAGCCTGGAGCTGCAACACAGTACAAATGTGGTCTCTCTTTGTGAATCCAGGAGCCCTCAGTGAGTGAACAAGAAGAAAACCATCCTACAGAAGAAAATACGCCCATCTTCATCTTGAATTTGGGCTGGGAATTAAAAAGAAAGCAGTCTCTTCTAAGAATTTCTAGCCTAAGATTCAAAAACCTCCCAGTGGTAGGTCTGGAATTCTGTGACCTAAATAATTCTAAGCTAGAAGGATAGTTTAAAATAATTCCACATTGATGGTGTTCTCAATACAAGTACAAATTCTCCCTTCATTTTGAGAGGTCTTCAAAAGATTTCTACAGATAAAGCTCCAGGGAAAATAAACTCACAATTTGAAATCATTAAATGCGTGAGGAAACAAACCGCCTTAAGCAAAGGTCGCAAAAACAATAAAATGTAGAATTAAGCTTACAAAGACCTTGTAATTATCAGATACCAAGTTCAAGATTTTATATTTAATATAAAAAATGTAAGGGAAATAAAAGGAGAATAACTCTTTCTCCAAATTGGGCATATTTCAAAAAGAATCAGATACAATAATTTAAATGAAAATTTTACATGATGTCTTAGACACAGCTGGGTAGAAAATTAGAAGAAAAATCTGAAGAAGGTTCTCAGCTAACAGTCTGGAAAGATTAAGAAATGGAAACTGTAACAGAGAATGGAGTGATAAAGTTCAAATATATCATATTGAAGGAGAAAATAGAGATAATTGTGGAAAAGTAATATTAAGAAAAATGTTTATTTTCCAGGATTTATGATGAAACTAACCTTATGAGTCACCAAGAGTTTATTAAAATTAATCAACACCTAGACACATTTTAGTGAAACTGCAGAGCATCAAAGGCAAAGAGAACATATTAAAACCAACCTGACAGAAAACACAGATTACCTGTAAAGAGTTGATGATTAGACTCATAGTTAATAACAACAATAATGGGAGCTACAAGTTTCCACTTCTGGCAGTTGTCAACTAGCTTCTATTAGATGACTCATCCCACAGAAAACAACTATAAACTCAGAACAAATGCTAATTTTTTTTATTTTGTTATCATTAATCTACAATTACATGAAGAACATTATGTTTACTAGGTTCCTCCCTTTACCAAGTCCCTCCCCCCATACCCCATTACAGTCACTGTCCATCAGCATAGTAAGATGCGGTAGAATCACTACTTGTCTTCTCTCTGTTGCACAGCCCTCCCCGTGCCCCCCACCCCCACATTATACATGCTAATTGTAAGGCCCTCTTGCTTCTTCCCCCTCTTCTCCCTCCCTTCCCAACCACCCTCCCCAGTCCCTTTCCCTTTGGTAACTGTTAGTCCATTCTTGGGTTCTGTGATTCTGCTGCTGTTTTGTTCCTTCAGTTTTTTCCTTGTTCTTATACTCCACATATGAGTGAAATAATTTGGTACTTGTATTTCTCTGCCTGGCTTATTTCACTGAGCATAATACCCTCTAGCTCCATCCATGTTGTTCCAAATGGTAGGATTTTTTCTTATGGCTGAATAATATTCCATTGTGTATATGTACCACATTTTCTTTATCCATTCATCTACTGATGGACACTTAGGTTGCTTCCATTTCTTGGCTATTGTAAATAGTACTGCGATAAACATAGGGGTGCATCTGTCTTTTTCAAACTGGGCTGCTGCATTCTTAAGGTAAATTCCTAGAAGTGGAATTCCTTACTGGCACAAGAACAGAGCCACAGACCAGTGGAACTGAATAGAGACTCCAGACATTAACCCAAACATATATGGTCAAT